GGCTCTGAAGGGAAAGTGCGCCTGGTTAACTTCCAGCCAGAGTGAGGAGGCCAGTGTGGCTGGAGCAGAGTGGAGGCGAATATGTGGACAGGGAGAGGGAGGTACTGGTGATGTGACCATGGGGGTCCGTAGTACTCCCTATAGGGACTTAAAGGTGCTAGCGAAGGGCTTGGCTTTTTACTGAGGTGAGGTGGGAAGTCAGCTTGAGGTGGGGAAGTCTGACCCAGGCTTGCTCTGGCTGCTATGTAGGGAAATCACAGCAAGGTCAAGATGATCACAGGGAGGTCAGTTAGAAGGCTGTGATAGCTAACTGAGAGATGAGAGTGGCTTGGAGCAGGGTGTTAGCAGTGTTGCTGGTGGGGAGCGATCAGGTGTTTGTAGGAGTTAGAGCACATGGGACTTGCAGATGGGTTGCAGAGAGGTGAGAGAAAGAGAGGTGTAAAGGCTGGCCAGGGTTCTTGATCTGAACAATAGGAAGGCTATAGAAATTGTTAATTAAGAAGAGAAGGAAACCACTTGTGTGTTCCTCGATGAAGCACAAAATCTCTTGTGATTGCACTCAGGTATAACCAAATGCTGGAGGTAAAGCGAGGTATAAGAATCACCTTTAGGTAGATTATGCAATAAGGGTAATATTGAGACAGAGGGCTACATCTCATTTTATATTCATTAAGTGGTTGGTATAGAAAACATTCTACAGCCAAATCTGATAACTCTTAGATTCTTTAACTTCTTTCTGAGCAGGCATACACAGAGATATGGGAAAACATGGGTAAAGAGCTATGCGGACAAAACTCAATCATAGGCACCAGATATCTTCACTATGAATTAGGAGAATAAAAGTTATTTTTACAAAATTATTATTTTCTCATGAGGGCTACTTTTGTACTTATTATTGTGATTATTATGTCCAATGAATATTTGGTTCTAAGAAACAAAGAGAATTGCGGATGAAAAGAATGTGTACATGCTTGTTAGGCTACCTAATAAACAACTATTTGATGCTGATTCTGCAGTGTGTTTAAAGGGTAATTCTTTTTCTGTTGCTTTAGAGAATTCATTTGGCATTCTAAAAATGGATGTAATTTCAAGCAGTGGCCAAAATGTATCAATTAGCCTGGCATCTAGGTCTTTTTAACAGATCTATAAATTTCCAATTTCCTTTGCCATCTTAACTGTGGTAAATCATCCTGAACACGATCATTCTTTTGAACAACAGCCTCCTTATTAACTGAGATCAATTGAGATTAGAAAATGAAAAATACACTAGATGCTGAGAACTCTTTATGAAACCACGTTTGTAGGATGAGTATTGAATGAAGATAAATGTGTTATTTTCAGCTCCCACATCATTGATTTAAAAATTTATTCTCTATATCCCACTGCTGGATTAAACACTAATATATATTTGGATGGTTTACTTGCTTGCAAAAATTGTCTTTTCCCTATTGAGGTTATGTATTAATGGAAGGGAAAGATTTTTAATTCCAATGTATCTTGGTTTGCCTACCACATACATTTCTACACATTAAATTGCATACAATTGATTTTTTTATTGAATTATAAATTAATGACTAAGTCCTTTGTTTTAATTTCTGATTGATTTTCATTAACTCTTTGGATAAAATACAAGATGCTTAGCACATCATGTAAACCCTGTGTGGTCTGGGCTCTGCCTACCTTTAAAGGTAATCTTGCAGCACCTTCCTCTTCTGTCTCCAAACCGCAGCCACCCTGGCCTTCTTTCAAGTCCTACAATTTCAACACTCAAGATTGTTGCACATGTTGTCTAAACTTTTAGTTCTTTAACACTGCCTGCTTTATTTTTTCTACATAACACAAATAGTACATTACTTACTTAATTAATTGCCTATCTTCTCCTAACTGGAAAGCAGGCTCCAAAAAGCACATGGATTTTCATCTTTCTTTCTTCACTGCTGCATCTCTAGCATCTAGAATTATGTTGAGTACCTAGAATGCACTCAGAAAAAAATGATGAACGAATGAACGATTCTTTATCCTGGAATACCAATTTCCCTTCTCTAAATCTAGGTAACTTGTATTCATCATCCAAATTCTAGCATAAATGTCACCTTTTCAGGCTACCTTTTTTTGATCCCTGAGATCAGCTTTCTCTATTATTTGTTCTTACAATTCTCTATATTTCTAAATTCTCCATAGAACTTCCTAGAATTTTAGCTTAAACTCTACTTTGTGTGAGACAATTTGTTTAACTCCCGTCTTCTCCCCTAAACTGTAAAATGTCTCTTCTTTTCCTTAAGTTTTCTTAAACGTTTATTTATTTTTGATAGAGAGAGAGTGCAAGAGTGAGTGGGTGAGCATGAGTGGGAAGGGGCACACAGACAGAGGGAGGCACAGAACCCGAAGCAGGCTCCAGGCTCTGACCTGTCAACATAGAACCCGAAGTGGGGCATAAACCCAAGAACTGTGAGATCATGGCTTGAGTTGAAGTTGGACACCTAACCAACTGAGCCACCTAGATGCCCTTCTATCTTGTTCTTAATGGTCTCTCCAACATCCAGCATAATGCCTGGGACAAAGGGATGCTCTATAAATATCTGTTAAATGAAAATGTGGATGGAAGGATGATTAAGCAACACCTCATTATAACTCTCAGTCCTCCGTTCCACTTGTTCTGTGTTCACTCAAAAAAAATTGTTAGTGAACCTCAAAGGAATGTTTTGCTATACTAGAGAAGTTCTTATTTAAATATACCTCTCAATGAATTCAATAATGCTTGTAGGATCCCTTAAAGCTAATGCATCATGGGGCGCCTGGGTGGCTTAGTCAGTTAAGCGTCCGACTTTCGCTTAGGGCATGATCTCGCGGTTCGTGGGTTCGAGCCCCGCATTGGGTTCTGTGCTGACTGCCAGCTCAGAGCCTGGAGCCTGTTTCAGTCTGTGACTCCCTCTCTCTCTGACCCTCCCCTGCTCACGCTGTCTCTCTCTCTCCTAGAAAAAAAAAATTAAAAAATATATATATTAAAAAAAAGTTAATGCATCATACCAGCCTCTTCATCCCCCACTGTATTTATTTAAATAAATACTTGATGGGCCTCTCCTCTAGACTAAGCCATATCGAGGGAAAGAAGTCATGTAAATAATGAAAAGACTATAAGATTTAAAATATAAAGATCTCTTACTCTCTAACTGCCCGCATAAGCTTGGCAAAGTTACCACTTAAGCTTTGGGCTCTTTATATGTCAAATAGAAATAGCAATACCTATTTTGTGTGGTTTATGTAGAGGTTATTATTGATGCACATAGTATGCATGCCACATAATAAGTGCTCAAAAGATGGCAGTTGTTACAATCACTAGAAAGTAAGCTCCTAGAGGCAGATTACACTTGCATTGCTAGTACGTTACATATAGAATACTCCTAATAAAGATTGGTTAAAGTGACTAGTAACGGGAACTGTAGCAGAGTATGTGCTCCTTCTCAACTCTCATGGGGCTGCTTACAATCTAAGCAAGAAAATAAGTTCCAAGACAGATGCATGAAATATTTAGATAATAATGAAATATAATACTATAGTTTATAATACATATGAAATTATAGTAACATATGTGTTACAACCATAAGTGCTTTGCATGGCCAGGCAGGAAATGATAAGGGGTAGCTGGCTGGCCTTAGTTCACATGTTTGTGTGTGTGAGATCTATACCCGTGAGCCTCCTGTGAAAATGTTCTATTTCTTTGTCAAAATTTGATGCTGGCTACACCAATGTTGGATAAAATGAATCAACCTGCTGCTTCTCTGTTACTATAATGGCCAACAAAATTGGGTTATTGATCCTGGGTATCAAGGTGTCTGTGTTATAGTAATGAATGCTCCCCCCACCCGCCCCGCCACATCCTTTTAACAATCAGTGGTTAGCTAACATCACAAATAGGTTCTGATGATGTTGCGTAATGTGGCTCAAATAGAGGTGTATTATGTGGGAGTATGTACTAGCTCTTAAAAACTAGAACATAGACTCAATTCCATATTCTACTTCTTTGTAGCATGCTCCGCACAGGTTTTCAGTTGTATTACATCATCCATAATCATTACCTATTGCTGTTCTGTCATCTCACCAAACTCTCTGCTTACAGCTCTAATAAATGGGACTGAGGTAATGAGCATGAATAGAAGAATGTTTCTTTTCTCTAGGAGGCTCTCCTTTTGTTACTTAGGTGTCTTCATGAAGATATTTGACTTAGATCCAAACACAATGGCACTCATTAAAGGTTTTGATGTGCCAACGTTCACACGGAAAGCTTCAGATGCCTAATTACAGAACTGAATGCAACAAACACACTCACTCAGTCCTGACCTTAGGTAGGAAAAGAGATGAATACCATCCTTCAGCCACTTCAAGCCATGTAAGGATGATCCAGAATCCATCCATGCCAACTGGCAGCCAGGCACATATCAGCCTGTCCAGAGTCTAAATCTGCAGGGACAAACCCAGTCAGCCTAGTAGCTTCTAGAAGAAGCGGCTTGCCCACACACCTGCATCAGAGTGGCAGCAAAACTTCCTGGAGGCCCATGCCTCCGCGCACACTCATACCCACACACTATACACTTAGACGAACATACCCGAATAGCCTTATTCACAAGGGCAGAGATCTGAATACAGAAACACTGTGCTCACAACACTCACAAAAACACATGCATGGAATAAAGTACTTTTAAAAATCTGGGCCGGTAAAGCGCTCTTATCACACACTTTCAGGCCCCGCAGGAGTCCCCTGGAAAAGTGCTTTTCTCTGAACCATTCACAAACTAGGCAGTCCTTCACCCCGAGGTGTGTCCCCAGCGTGGGTAAAACAGGACCTTGGTTGCAGTCTTGTCAATCTTCTCGACTCTTTCCTCTGTTCTTCCTTAACTCCCAGCGGGCCGGGTGGCGCCAGGCCGGACCGCCGCGTCCGACTCCAGGGCCCTCCCCGCCCTAAGCGCGCGGAGGGGCGGGGCCCAGCCGGCGGCCAGGAAATGCCCAGGAGCCTGTGTCACCTGCCCCCGACGGCTTGTTGATTCCCTGGGAGCGCTCAGGTCTGGGCCCCGAGACCAGAGCGCGATCTCGCTCACCAGGTCCCCGGGCGCGGCCCCGGGAGCTCCTGAGACACTCCCGGGACCCCTCGCCCCTCAGATCCACAGCCATGAGCAAGTTGGGCAAGTTCTTTAAAGGGGGAGGCTCTTCTAAGAGCCGAGCCGCTCCCAGCCCGCAGGAGGCCCTGGCCCGGCTTCGGGAGACCGAGGAGATGCTGAGCAAGAAACAAGAGTACCTGGAAAATCGAATCCAGAGAGAAGTCGCCCTGGCCAAGAAGCACGGCACGCAGAATAAGCGAGGTAGGCTTGGCATCTGGCCGCAGACGTGAGCTCTCTCCCTTCTCCCTCCAGCGCTTTCCTTGGGGAACATCTGCCCACAGCACCTTACCCCAGGAGGCCGGATTTGCCCCCACAGCCTTTCTAGGAACTGGTATTGACAGTCCCCCCTCCCCCCACCCCCGCCCAGGGCCAAAGCTGGAGTGGGCTGAGCTAGGCACAATCCTAGACAGCAAAATGTTAGGTAGTTCCAATCAAGATGAACAGTATTGTTATGGAATGTTTTAAAAGCTCAGAATTAATGCAGAAAACTCATGATAAACAAAATATCAAAATTTTAAATAAAGACAGAATTAGTATTATTTATTTCTTTTTCTTTTTGCTTCTGGCTCTTATGCCGACCTACAAGGCCCTTTTTTTATTTAACATTCTTTTTTTAGAAATGTAGTATTTTGTCCATCGTGAACATTTTTGCATTGATTTTGAATTTCAAAACACCGCATTAAAATATTAATTATCTTGATTACTAACTTTTTGGTACCCCTTTAAACTTTACTCCTCTTCTGCCTACCGTAGTCCAGCCCTGCTGACCTCAAATATCAGGTTGTCTGCTGTATGTTTATAAATATCGATCGAATCACACATTTTTAACATGCATGGCAATCACCAGTGAAGTATATTCTGGTATGTTCTGGTTTACCTCGCTCCTCAGCCATTGAAAAGTTTAGTTGGCTGTTGTGCAGTTGAGACATTATAAAAAATAAAAGGCAGGGAATTAAATATTATATTATATTATATTATATATATATAAATATATATATATATATAAATATTATATTTCCTATGACTGGTTTTTACCACACAAGGGACTTTGAACCAGTAATGATTCTTGGTGCTCCTGTCACACCTTGAACCCTTTGTTATTTTCCAGAGTTAATTGGTTTCTTCAGTGTACTGCTCTCTTTATAGAGAAAAGATCTAAACAGCACATATATAAAAACCCAGGGACAAGTTGAAGTGATTTGGTGTGGTAACACTAGAAATAGAAGTGATCTTGTAATGGAAGACTCAGAAATAGAAGTGGAAATACAGGACTCTGTCCACCACCTAACCCTGAACTTGTATCCACAATTCAGGCTTCTGTAGTCATAACAAAGCCTTGGGAAGATTTACGTAGCCCTAAATGATGCTGCCATTGTTTAATGCAGGAAAGGAAAATTGTCTTCTGGAGTTGACCTTGAAAACCCTGCTGCTTCCCATAAACCTGTGCCTGATACATTTGTGTCCACTTACTACTAACGAAGGATAAAAAGACCAAGTTTCACTTTTCTCTGCTACTGCATATAACTTTTGTCTACATTACAGCCTGTTTTAGACTTAAATGCTGGTTTCTATTTTTTACTTTACAGCTGAAAATACTTTGGGAAGCTATTAAATGGCAATTTCTAAAGAGATACCACACCATTATGGCTTGCTAAAAAGCTCTCAGTAGTTCTGTTTTTCTGCTCTTCCACTTCAGTTTGATGTGCATTCTGAAATTTGCATAATGTCTGTCAAGGGATGTCTGTCTTTCTGTCTGTCATCCTTTTGAGTCTGTATATTGCCTTTGTTCACAGTGGTTGCTCAGTAAATACTGGCTTAAAAAAATCTTAAAAATCGAACATCTGCTTCTAGGAGGTGGTGAAAATGTAGGTTTTGCTTTTAGAAGACAAAAATGTGAGATAATATAGGTTTTATTGATTTTTTTTCAGAAATGTTCTCCAGTTGGAAATGCACTAAAGGGTGTTACAAATTGGCTATATAAAGACCCCACCCCCAAAATTAAAGACAAGATTAATTAAGAGCATCAGTCTAACTTTGCCAAATCAGAGAAGTTACAGATGCAAGTATCATGTGCAAATAACCAATTGGGGTTTGAAAATTCACTTATTCTTTGTCATTTATCCTTGGGAACTTCACTGGTATTAGCCCACACCAGATTCCACAGTAGTTCTGGGAGTGAAAAGAGGCTAGTTAGCATGAGTTCATCTGTACCTTAAACTATGGAAAGAGTTCACAGGCCTATGTATTAGAAGCCCTATCAATATCAGCATTTTCTAAATAAACCAGATAGCTTCATATACACATAGTTTCTGTGTTCCATTGGCTACCAAGAACTATTTTCACACACATAGTGTAATCAGGCCCAATATAGTTAGTACAAAATGGGCCTTGTGCTCTACAAGGCTGTATATTATACAGGGCTGTATATTGTGGCATAAAGGCTGTAATTTACATTATAATCTGAGTGACATAATATATATGCGGTTAAAGTTTTACTTCTAGACATGGTTGGTCAGCTAGCATGCTGCCAAGAATACTGGTTAAATGGCCAGCTAGCATTGTAACAGAAAGGACCACACTCCTAGCCACTTCAGTGATCTATTTCTCTACTACAACAGAATGTCTGAATGTCAAAAGTGGGTTTTATTGGTAAAATGAGTAACTTTCAAACTAGCATAATAAATGTTAGAAATGAAACCTCATTGGTGAAATTATAGATATTCTAAATAAGTGGATTGACTAAAATAGTTTGAGATACTTCCTTGCTTCCGGTTGTAAGAACAGGTGATGAGAATCTACTAACTTAGAATGGTACCTGAGGCTTGATCTCTGATCAGTGCCATGTCAAGTCCTTGGATCACTTGTATTTCTCATGGAGCGCACCTCCCACAGGGCACAGCACCTTACTAGGGAATGTTACTGCCTTCAGGGAGCCTTTCATACAAGGTATATTGGAGCCCCTGAAGGGACATACAGTCAGGACTTCATTGAGCTCATGGAATAAGCTGACCAAGTGTTTTTGCCTGCTTGCAGTGTATGCTTGTTTCTGCAGAATTTAGTCTGAAACTTGCTCTCGTTGTGTCTTATACCAAGGTTGCACAGGCGTACCTAATCCTTTTCACCTCAAACTTCTTTGGTATTTACCATAATCTACCAAAAAGAACCTGAGTGTGCACTACCAAATTGCTTTTGCAGCACCCATGATACTCAAGGCCCTGTTGATCTTTAAGATTAACATTTGGAGACAGGTTTATAATTTGGTTACAATTTTAGGAGGTGTGAGGGGTGTCCCAGGGGCATCTGAGCCTGGGTGGCTCAGACGGTTAAGCATCTAACTCCTTATTTCGACTCAGATCTTGCTCTGACAGTTTGAGATTGAGCCCTGCGTCAGGCTCTGTGCTGTGTCAGTGTGGAGCCTGCTTGGAATTCTCTATCCCCCTCTCTCTGCCCCTATCCTGCTCATGCTCTCTTTCTCTCTTTCTTTCTCTCTGTCTCTCTCAAAATAAATAAACTTAAAGCAATTTAAAAAATAAAAATAAATTTTAGCAGATCTGAGATTCCTTAATGTAGCTTATGTGGATTACCCCTGCTTTATAGCTGGTAATCTCTTTTACGGAAAACAAACTTTTTATATACCACTTACTTTTATTCTTTTCTTTTCTTTTTTTAAAATTAATTAATTTATTTTGAGAGAGAGAGGGAGGATGAGAAGGGGAGGGACAGAGAGAGAGAGGGAGAGAGAGAATCCCAAGCAGGCTCTACACTACTAGCACAGAGCCCCACTTAGGGCTGGATCCCAAAAACCAGAAGACTAAGAGTTGTACTCTCACCCAGCTGAGCCACCCAGGCACCTCATTTTTTCTGTTTTGAGCCCTATCATCTGTAGCAGTTTTTAATATTAAGTCACCCTCATGCCCAGGTCCCATACCTATAGATTTGGTTAAAATTTTAGGAGGTCTGAGGGGCACCTGGGTGGCTCAGATGGTTAGATTCTGATTAATTCTGATATAATTGATCCTATATATTGATTCTATGATTCCGTAATTGAATAGAGTTGGGCTCCACATCAGTATTTTTTTAAAAAGTGCCTGGCTTAGGATGAGTAACTTAAATGTATAGTAATGTTAATGAGTTAGAAGTACATGGTCCTTTAGTCTTGCATGTTTCCTAACTGTTCTCACACGATGGCGTCTATGACGCTGATAATATTTGCGGGCTTCACTGGGATAAGCAGAGACTGTGGCCTATGTAGCTGAAGCAATCAGTATCTCAGTGTACTGCAAACCCCTTCCTGCGCTACCGGTTTGCTAGAACACTTTAGAGGTCAATATTCTTTTTAAAAAATGTGTATTTATTTATTTTGGGGGATACAGAGAGAATCCCAAGCAGGCTCTGTGCTGTCAGCACAGAGGAACGCCGTTCCTGGCGTTTTTACCGTTTCTTCCTTCCTCCTCCATCACTCAGAGACCCAGATGAGAAATTTTTTACCCACCTTCCTCCTGTTGACTGCTGAAGAGACTTTTCTGAAGCTTTGACAGATCCTCGTCAGCCACCTGAATTCGTTTTCTTTAGAAAAGCCCATACTACTCCATAGTACTTTTGAAGGGTCTCAGAGTTCTCTAGTATTCAGATTACAACCAAGCATTATCATAAAGTGTTCTGCATGCCTCCGATTATTTGATATTTTGTGCCATACCCTATGTATTCTGGGGCCAGAGGAAAGGAAGAGTTTTATTCCTGAGGCATTAAGCACCCTTATGGGGGTCAGGTCTTTTTCTCTAGTCAACTGCTCTTCTCTCTTCTGGCAAACATAGATCAATGGAAATGTGACCCTTCCTCAGTTTTCACCCCTAGTTTCTCTCCTGCCTCAGGATCTCCTCCTGGGCTTTCATCCTGTGGTGGAGGAAACTAAAACATCTGAACCAGCCCTGGGAGCCTATTCACCGAAGCTGTAGTATTAAAACGTCTTCCTCTCCTAGTACCTTCCTTCTGCCTCTGAGCCCTGGCAGGAACCCTGGTTGACCTACACCCTTACTCACACGCTTGGGTACAGACCTGCAGAGCGCCCTGGGCTTTTTTTTAATCTCCTTTGTTCTGTTAATCCTGCCTCGGTTTGCATATGCTTTTCCACAGGTGGATCAGTTGCTTTTCCCCAATAGATTTGGAAAGGGTTAAAAATCCCAGCCAGATTTAGTCTTTCC